TTATTTTAATTTTTTTTTATTAAGAATGTACAACAAGTTATATTCACAAAGATGAAGCCGTCAATGACTCATTCAGAGTTGTATTAAATTCAGTCACAAATTATATCTCACGTGTTCACACATACTTCTTCTCACACTTGATAATTTTCTTAAGTTCTCAAATCTTAAAGATACTTATTAAGTACTATATGAACACGCGGTATCGTGGTATAGTATCCCTGACATAAACACCATTTTTTCTATAAAAATCCAAGTCTGTCTGCGATGTTTTGTTCAACAAGAATATTTCGCTTCATGTATTACAAAAATTTTTGTCACTCAGTTCGTGAATTAAGACGATTGCCTGCGGACTGAATAAAAAAAAAATATTATTCGATACACGACTATGAAAAATTTTCATCTTCACCAGGAAAGCTCTCACGACCTAGTCTTGGAATATATTAAGCAATATGATGTATCATTTGAAACGATAAAAAAACGTTGAATGAAATATTCATCATAGTCCGTCTATTTTGAAAAATGCGTGTAATCATTTTTCAATTGAGAATTTAAATAATTAAACTGTCTCCCGGTGAGTCAGTGCGGATAATGGCTTGTCATTAATTACGTAGAAAAATATATCTTAAGTTATTCAATGGCGGTAGGCAATGTTTTATGTATAGAAATAGAAAAAAAGCTCAAAATAGTACAAATCTACCTTATTAAATAGTTTATGATACTTCAGCTTTTTCACACAAAACAAAACCTGTACATGTAATGCTTCAATGAGACAACGCGATTAAATACGACGTAGGGGGGCACAGAAAATTTGTACAACGATGGATAAAATTAAATTACTATTGCGAAGTGATAGACTAGGATCAATGAACCGTCTCTCTTCGATAAGAGAGAGAAGAAAAGTACAAATATCTTTATAGACACCTTTTTTGTTTTCATTTTCCTCTATAAAAAATGAATATACAAAAATATCGCTTTTTCCCTTCAATTCTCAGATACTAACTAAAAATTGACCTCAAAAAAATGTATTCATCCTAGTTTATCAATTCGCCAAAGATTCCATTTTATTGATTAATTTATTTCTCTGTTACGATTATTAAAAATAATTTCTGTGTTCATTTTGGCCCACCCTTCCTCTCCACTGGTTTTTCTGACTTTTATAATGGTCTCTGGAATCAATTTAATCTAGTTCTTTGCAACTCTACGGAGAGATGAGAAAATATTTCAAAGAAACTCGAAAATTTTCCAACAACCGATTATTTATTTCCACTACCAATAATTTAATGTTGAGCTGTCAAAATCTCGTTTTGTAATTTGGAAAAATTAACTCAAAAAAATGTCTAGATTGTTTTTAAAATCCTTCATTCCATGATTTTCCTCATCTCTCCTAAACCGAAAAATAAAAATTAAAAGCAAAGGAAATCATTAACTTCCCCTTCCTCGTCACCTAAAATTTTATAAATCCCTTAAGAAAATTGATAATATCCCCCACAACACCCCAAACCGTCAGATTATCACAAGTACTTAATCTCCCTCGTTCGCATCCTTCAAATCGTTGGATTGAGAGAAACTCTCCGTCTCCCATTGGGAGTGTAAAATCCCCTAGGATCCCCATAAACCGGTACAAAAGCCGAAAAAGGCCTCAAAGGTGACTCAGGACTCCTCTTAGGACTAGATCCCACCGACTCACTGAACGACGTATTCAACGTGTGATTCGGCGAATTTCTCAACGGAGGTGGATATTTATCCGCAAAAACACTGTTATTCAAAACCGAAACATCGACACTAGAAACCCTTCTCTTCCACACATAAACGATCGTCAAAATGAGAACAAGAAAAGTGATAAAAGTATACCTGTGATAATAAAGATAATCCACCCAATGAATCCCAGAGATAGCCACATAATCCTCATACCTCGATGTCCTGACAATCACCGAGATATTCTGTCTGGTGATTTCATTAATAATCCTCAACCTCTGCCCCTGCACATCCTCGACATTCTGCATCAATCTCAATTTAAAAATTATCTTACTCCCCGCCATTTCCCTGGAATTAACAACCACCCCCTCAGGCATTTCGATATTGACGTATTCAAGAACTCCAGGAAGTCCATGAACTTCCAACGCAGAAGTGGGAATTTGTCCTCCTTCCTGAACAAACACAACATCACTAGATCCAACAAAAACAGCCGGAAGATAAGGAATCTCCAGTGGCTTTCCCTCGACATCCCTAGTCTGTGCATTAACTTGAATCTTCGTCTCCAAAACACTTGACGTCGACGTGGGACCACCAATGGGTATAATATCGCAGTAATAAAATCCAGAAACAATATCAAATCTTGGTTTAGTGATGAAGACATCCTTGATGTTCACAGAGGAGGTAGAAGTGAATTGAATGCTGCAGGTGAATGGAAAATGAGTGAGAACGAAATTAGAACGCGTCCTGCAGCCCCCAAGGCCCCTAGCCAGAACATTATTCTCCTTTATCCCTTCGTCCTTACTCTTCAGAACCAGAGGAACACTGAACACTTCACTGTCTGTCACATTTTTTCCCCTCAGGAACACCAGAGAAATCTTGGAGATGGGCTGAACGTTTACCTCAATCTCCCCTTGTTTATCAGTTGTCAAACTGTGTTTAACGATTGTCTGTCCAGGACTCTTCGCTCTGCCAATTCCAGTGATTGAATTAACTGTCAAAACATCTGAGTTGGAAGATCTCCAGAAGCCAGGGTCACCAGTCTCCGATGACAACAGAGGCATCGAGAAGCAGACAACGTCACCAACTGTTAAAACTGTTTTACTTGGAAAAATTATATCTCCAATCATCATGTGGGCGTAATCAAACATAGCATTTGGATACTTCTCATTAAAAATCTTGGCAACTAACTCTCCAGTCTCATGGAATCTCACTGATATCTCGTTCTTTCGTATTGGAGTGAACGACAATAAATCTCCTCGATTTGTTATTGTATTGAGACTCGTCTCAGCTGCGTGAAATTTATTTCCAATCGAATCGAAGTACTCGACGATGTAGTTCAGCTCCATTCCTTTTGGAAGAATATTCAATTCCTCTCCAGATCTTATCTGCACCTTCGAGGACAGTGAGAACATCATGTAGTGGATTGGTTTGACATCTACAATGATTGTCAGCGATTGTTTCAAATTGTAAGCTTCAACATTCGTTACTGATAGCACAGTTCTCCCCAGGGATTCTCCAGATTTAATCACTCCAGCTTTATCCACAGTTACTGTTTTAGATGTTATCAATGCGTTCGAATCCTCAGACTCTCCAGTTTGTCCAGATAATAGAATTTTGTAAGTGGTGACTCCATGTTGATCTCGATTAGTTCTCAATTTCAGAGTCGAATGAGGTGTCATGAGGATCACTGGAGCTCCGGTGGTGAATTCTGGACTTGTTAATGATAATTCTTCAATTATTTCAATTTTAATGAACGTACCGAACGTCGAAGAGTCTTTGTAACCGGCTCGAGTCTTCGGTGGAACAGTGACGTTGAGGTAAACAGTGGCAACTCCAGGTTTCAGGGCTTTGGCACGAAGTGTCACTTCGTTCTGATACCTGATGTTGATTCCAGTGCCTTCATACATATTGTGAAGAGTTAGTAAACTGGGGTCGTTTGTCGACCACGTGAATATCAGTTGAGACTTCATAGATCCAATGATCAATGGTGTAAGATTGTCAGGAACTCCAAATGCCCAGAGAGGAATCGTAGCTCCAACCTTGATCTTGAATGTAGGGACGACTATTCTCACTCCCTCGAGTTGGACTACACGAATGTCCACGTGATCCTCGGAGTAAACTACTCGATTCCCTCTGGAGTCAAAGCCAATAGCTCTAGCCACGACTCTAGTGCTCCCAATCTCCTTGCCCTCGAAAATCCCATCGGTGAACATTGTCAGGATATCCTCATGATCAACAGCGAATTCTACCCTAGCATTTGAGGGCCCACCTGTAGTCAGCACTTGGTAAACAGTTCCTATTAGAATTGTAATGTTCCTCTGGGTGATCCTCAGGGGTAGAAACACTTGGATCGACGTTGGTTCACTCCTGATCTCCTGATCGCTGAAGCCACTCGAGTAGATGATATTGGAGAATCCTTCCTCCACTCCATGAATCATGTAAAGAATTTTAGAGTAAGGAGCGTCACCCTGGTCAATCGGAGATAATTTTTTAACTTCAATCAGTGAATTATCGACATCCGAGCGAATGTCGAAGGACTCAAGGGAAGGTAACTCGATGACATTTCCGTTGGTGTCGAATAATTTGACAGTTGCTGGGATACATCGACCTTTCTCCACTTTATTCACACTTTCCACTTCAATTCCAGCTAATTGCTGGACATCTACTTCAGCCACTGCTGGAGGGGAGATCAAGCAGAGGTCTATCAGAGCTATCTGGAGTGTTCCCGATTTCTTTGGGATGATGCTGATGGTTCTGGTGGGCTCCACGTACCTCACGTCAGCTATTTCATTAGTACTGAGAACGAACTCGTAATATCCTGAGCCCTGGTTCACCTGCAAGGAGTACTTGACGTTTGGGTCATTGAGGATTTTCAATCTGCTGGGGGTGATTTTTGTGTCGTTCACCAGGACAACACTGATCTCAGCTAATATCTTTGGAGTTGCCAGAGTTCCCTTTTCAGTCATTACTGGAAATGGTGGCCATTCTGGAGCTATTCGTAACTTGGATAGAATATATTTCTGGTAATCAATCACTCTGGCAGTTATGGTTAGAGTCCCTGTGTGCTTTTTCGGTATTACTCTCTGATAATGTTTATTAGGAAGCACTACATTGAAATCCACGAGAGTTTCCTCTAGGATTCCTGTCGTCACCTCGACGGTTCCAACTCCTGAAGGATTAAGAGTCCATTCGACGTTTAGACTCGTAAAATTGTCAAATCGTCTGCCACTTTCATCCTTGACGATGACATTGAGGTAAAGGGGCTTGTCGGAGTGCGCCATGACTGTCTCAGGGTTCTTAGTGATAGGACACTTGTCGCTGTCCTTGAACTCGGGCTGGAGGTAAATGTGCCTGGGTTTTCCACATATTATTCTGACAGCAGCTGTGGCACCAGTGCTCCTGCAGTTGGGGAGCAGTGGCTCGTTGGAGACCTTGAAGGTGAAGATAACATCCCCCAGGGCTCTGCAAACAACCTCGAAGATGGTGACATCTGAGGATCCATCAGTGGTATCAACTTCTGAAATTCTCACAATTTCTTCCTCAGAAATCGACGATTCTCTTGTGAATCCCTTAAGATTTCCTGGTGATGGTTGGGGACCGCCTTTGAAGATGATTTTTCGGGAGGATCCAACTGCCAGGAGAGTCTCTCCACTTGACGGATAGACGGGAATCAAGGGGGCGTATGCAGAAACTGTGACGTTATCCATGAGATATTCCCCGTTGGAGTTGTAGGCAACTGTGACACCTGAGGAACCGATTGTAGTCCCTACGACTGTCAGAGTGGCACACGCAGTGCCAATCGGTTGAATGAAGTCTGTGGAGTTCCGGATGAAGTTGGAGTCTGTGATGTGAACCTCGAAGGAGGTGTCCCTGCAGTCCGTGAATGGGATTTCCTTGCCGTCGTCCTGAATTTTTCCATAAAGAGCTATAAATAGGTGAATGGGCTCACCAATAGCTGCGTCCATGTTGTACTGAATGATCTCCAGACGTGAGGGAGGCATCACGTAGACTCTAGCTCGATCCTTGTTGTAGCTGTTGCGTGCCATGGAGACGATCACGTCAGTGGTACCTTGAGAGAGAATTCGTACAACACCGTTCTGAGTTACTGAGGCGATGGAGGGAGTCCGTGTCGACCAGACGTACGTTCCATCACCACCGATTGCCTTCAGGGCAATATCAAATCTAGCTTTGCTCTGTGGCTCCCAAGGTACAGCCAACACCTGAGGACTCACTGTAACCAGTGTATGAATGATTAATTCAGCTTTAGCAGTCAGTGGCGTTGGCAATGCGATTTTCTTCCCACGTTTATTGATGACTCCATGCAATGTAGCACCGACAGTTGTCGTACCGCAGGCAATGGGAATTCCAATTATATGAGTACCATTCTGAGTGATGCTTATCGTATTGAAGAATTTCGGATCAATCTCAACAGAGACTTCCACACCCTCACCAATGTGAAATTTATGATCTTTAGCGTCGAATAATTCGACAACGATTTCGTGAGTATGAGCCAGAATCAATCCCCTGTTTCGATTGGGCAATACTGTTATTGTGATGTACTCAACAGCATTAACGTTGACTGTTGCAGTAGG